TATATTGCTTGATTAGATTAGCTTTTAAATTTTCATAGATTTGAACTTAATCCTATATTACAAGTATTATGTGGCTTCATGGAAATAACAGTCTTCAAAGCATTTTAGAGTTTTAATTTTTAGTTTTACAATTATTGTGTAATTCCACAGCACAGATGGTCTAAAGCCATCTGACCATGTAATGCTGATAACAATAATGAGGCCGGCTTTATTTGGCCTAAAGCTTGTTCCTGGCTATCTTCCCATAGAGAAGGTTCTGGCAGGATTTTCCTAAGTTCATAGAAAGGGCATGCCTTCAGGGAGAAGTTTGGACCAAGATCTGCAGTATCCCCCAAGTCCAGAGAAACCTCTTGGCAATCTCTTAGCTGCTGGTCTAGGGAACCCTTAGATTGTCTTTACCCTTCAGGCGAGAGGAGACCTTCTCCTGCAGTCAGATTGTGATCTAAGCCGTGGACCTTTTCTCAATAGAGCTAAACTTTTCTGTGGTGGCCTTTTGGTGCTGTAGGAGAAGAACGGGCTTGTCTCAGATTCTGTTTTGGCTGGGAACATAGTATCAGATTCTCTGCATATTAAGTGGATTTTCTCATGAACTGCAAGGATGACAGTGTAATGCCTGAGATAGATAAGATGAGGCTTTAGTGAACCGAGCGTGGCATACAGTTCATGTGTATGGCTGATCACCAAGGAAAACAAACAAAAAAATGAAAACAAAAACAAAACTCTGGCTTTCATCAACTGGCACACCACAGAAGGAAGAGCAGAGGGCTACCACTGTGAACTGTTGAGAATCTGCATGCACATCAACAACAGTATTAGGGTTCAGAAGCACCCACAGTCTTGGAACTACAATTTTGTTCATCTCAGAAAAGTCTTAGACAAACCCTCTGCTTCCTCTCCTGGCTTTTTACCTGGTGGGAGGGCAGTGTGGCAGGCATCAGTCCGTGGCTTTGTTTTAATGCCCACTCCCACGCCCACACAATTAGTGAAAGTCCTTGGATTGACTACATCGTTAGGGAGTTTGGGGCCATTGAGGCAATGGCCAGTCTACTTGAATATTTATACTTTAACTTTGCCCTGTGCTGGTTGAGGAGGAATTCTACAAGTGGCTTCAGAGTGGTCTGAGTTTCTAGTTTATCATTCCTTGTTTGTGAGGGGCAGTGTAGCCCTCAGACTCCAGAGGGTCAAGGAACTCTGGAATGATTTCTTCCTCCAAAGAGAACTTTACGTGTCCCCTCAGGGTAGAAAGCTCTTCCACCTCAGTGTCATGTGGTAGGAAAGTGTGCATCCTGAGGCTGGTGCTGAAGACATCTGAATTGGTCATTCAGAGATTCTTTGGAATTGATTTGAACAACGTCCTTTCCCACTGAGATACTTTCTTTACACAAAGAGGTTTGTTGATGTATTACAGTAGAGTGCAAAGCCGGGAAGGGGGGCTTCGCTTTCTTCCAACAGCATGTGGGTGATTTCCCATTGATCTTGACCTGAGGGCGCCCATGTTTATTAAAGTGTGTTACTGGAAGCAATGCAGTAGAGTGTGTATTGTGGCCACGTCAGTGCTGACCTTCATTTCAACAATCAGGGCCTGGAGGGTTGCCCTGATGGTTCGGCGTCTATATCAAAAGGTGTAGTTTCTTTGGAGGGTTGATAGCACACCGAACAGTCTTTTTCTTCTTTAGTGTGACTCTGTAATGGAGACAGAAATCTATCGGTCCAGGGTCCCTTGGTTTAGGATCTCTTGAGATAAGATTTATGAAAAGAACCCTTAGTCTTTGTTCATAGAGGGTTTCTTTTTGTTTTGTTTTGTTTTTTAGTTGTTTGGATTATTTATTTATTTATTTTTATTGCATTTTATTTAGGTTGTGACTGTGTACACACATCTGGTGATCAGAGGATAACCTGTAGGAGTCAGTTCTCTTCTTGCACCGTGTGCTTTATGGGGATTGAATGCAGACCGTCAGGGCTGGTGGCAGGTGCCTGCACCCACTGACCAAGCTGGTCCTCATCTTGTTCTTTTTGGTCATTAAACTGTTTGGCTGTGGTTCAGCCTTCTGTTTCTCTGCAGGTCACCAAGCCCTTTGACAAATATCCATAAAAGTCATTTCAGTACCAATGAGAAATACTCCTGCTTTGGTGTGTGATACCTTTACAAGTTTTTCATCTTTGTAATAACGAAGTTTAGAGAATTAAAAAAAAAAAAAGAAATATTCAAGCTGTGGCTTAAGGAAAATGTTTAACAAGTGAGAGTCCTAATCAAGCACTAATCAGAGAGTGAGTCATCTACTTTTTTTTCCTGCTTACATTGAGTGAATAATAGACCATTCAGTCTTCTGTGGGAAGACAATGGAAATAGCTTGTGTAGGCCTTTTAGCTGTTTGTTGGATCCCTAGAAACAGCTTTTGAAGAGTGGCCAACATTTTGTTCATGTGTATTCACCTGTTGGAGGTATAATGGACCTGGTGCTTTCCTTTGGTTTGGTTTTTCAATGATTTTGGAGGTCATTGGGGCTTCTTTTGAGTCCTAGTTCTGCCACTAAACCCTTAGAGCAGTGGTTTTCAACCTTCTTCATGCTGCAGTTTAATGCAGTTCCTCATGTTGTGGTGACCTCTAACCATGTAGTTATTTTTGTTGATACTTCATAACTGTAATTTTGCTAATGTTATGAATCCTAGGATAAATATCTGATATGCAGATAGTCTTAGGTGACCCTGGCAAAAGGGTCATTTGGCACTCAGAGGGATTAAGAGCCACTGTCTTAGAGAAATATCTAAGTTTGAGTAAGAAGGAATTTATGAATTGGAGACACTAGACTTAAAGGGTGCCTCTTGTATTAGAGGCAGATATTTATAAGAAAATTGTGGGAGTTAAATAAAGAAACTGGATATACTTATGAAGTTGCCTTTTATGGTTTACCTTGTTGAAACATCCCTAGTCACATAATTATTATATGCTAGTTTGCTGCTTATGAATGGCTGAGGTTAATCTCTTGGGTTTGGGGTAGAAGCCGAGAAAAAAATCACTTCAGATATGAAAGCTTAAAATTAAAGCTTTGTTTTCTTGAGCTCATGAAGGTGGCCAGTTAAAGATCTGAACCACATCCCCAAGTTGAAGCTGTATTGTGTATGTAAATGGTAAAAACCACAGAGTTAGGTGAGCGGGATGGGCTGTAGTATTGTCCAATCATATTTTGACCTAAGGGGTTAAGCAAGGGAGTTTCTATCAATCAGGATAGGAGTAGATCCCTGAGAATGTGAACTTGTTTGACCCTGCCAGCAAGATGGAGAAGTTGTCGTTGAGATGGCTGGACTCAGACAGCTGTCTCCTCACAGGTTGTCCCTAAGATGTCTGGACTCGGACAACTGGTTCCTTACCACAGAAGCTGTTCAGCTATTGGGAAGCCCCCAGCTCTCCTAGGATCTGGGACCTTGAACTTAGTTTCTCTCCATGATTAGATGGAATCTGAAAATGAAATGGTAGTGCTTAGCATAAGTTTCTTTTGCTTGTTCCCAACAAATCTATGTTTCTGTCGAACAAATCCAGAAACGACTAGAGTCAAATTTTGCATTTCATTTAAACAAAGTTAGAGCTTATTTTTAATCTCCTGGGACAATTTTAAGGGCAGCTTGGTTTCACTTTACCAAGGTCCATGGAGATAGGTATAGGATATAAGAGATCAGAAATGTCTTCTTGGAGAGAGATAGGCTTTATTCTGACCAGATAAAGTACAGTGGGAATTTGTAACAAAGAGCAGAGGTAAGGTCAACAGATACAACATTGCCAAGAAGAAACGTGGGGCTTTGACAGAACCACTGCTAAAGGTAGGCCACAGGGAAGGTGATCAGTGTACCAGGGACGGGAGATTCTCTCCAGCATGGCTTCACAAGATTCTTACTCAGAAGGGTTCTACAGGGACAGAGAAGAGAACCAGTGGGCCAGTTAAGAAGCAGACTTGGAGCTTGGTTGGAGGAAAAGTCTAGGACTCATGGTTTGCTCAGTGCGGTCCACAGATAATGCGGCTGTTGTTCAGGGTAGCAGTCACTCCTGAATCAGAACAGCCTGCTGTGCTCATGACCCCCATCTCCTTATCCTCACCTGTCTTTGTTTTGTTTTCCTGGATGCCGCTTCTGTTGCCAGCTCAGCTTTTCCTTTTCTCTCAGTAATGTCTCTCAATGATTCTACAGTCCGGAGCTTTCACAAACTCTCTCAGGCCTTTCACAGAGCTTGCTACTTTACTTCAGATTACTGTCCATCATGCTGATGTTTACAGGTTGACTAGAATTTGTGGGTGTAAAAGGATATGGAGGCAGGAGATGCACCATCCCTCCTCCTGTTCCAGGAGAACAGGTCCTGAGAGGGAACACAGATGCCCGACCTGGGCTTTCCTGTGAATGTCAAAGTTTGGGCTTTCTTCAGCTCTGTCTCCATGGTTATGCCCCACCCCTCACAAGTTAGGGAAAAAAATCCCAGCAGTCATTTTTGTTGGAATTCCGCTTATCCCAGAGAATCTCGAAGGCAGAGGAAGAGGTCCAGCACGAGGAAGCGGTCCAACACGTTCACTGTGGGACAGATAAATATTACTTCTGACAGAAGTGGAATGTTGTCTGCTGGTTTGACCTTTCTGTGGAAGAATGAAGCTTTTCTCCTGGGAATGATCATAATTAGTGAGTCAGACCCATCTTACAAGGACACATTTCTGAAAGGATGCGTGGCAGTGGGGAGTTTCCCTCCCAGTCTGCAAAGAAAGGCTGTTGTGATCCGCGCTTGTGAGACAGACACACATTTGTGTTTCTCTGGTTTATGTATCATATCAAGCCGTCCAAGTCTACTCTCTAGCAAGTGTGGGAACAGCTCTGCAATTGTATGTTTGTTTGCTCTCGGAATCTTGACTTCACTTTAATTTTGGTAGTTGGTTGCTTACTTTTTTATTGATTTAAAGTTTTCCTTACAAAAATTTACTTACGTAAGTCTTTTTTTTTTTTTTTCCTTTCTCTGTGTGTGATCAGATTACAGCTGGAGTCAAGGTTTTGCAAAATTCCATACTACAACAGGATAAGCGACTGGCCAAAGCCATGGTTGGCGATGGCTCCCTTCATGTTACCTTGCTAGTGATGCAGTTATTAAATGAAGACGAGGTGAACGTGTAAGTAATGCACCTTTTCTGAATGTCACTTTCCACATTATTATGCTACTATTAGCAAGAACAGAGGGCCCAAGGAGCCATTGCGATTCTAAAAGAAACAGTCTGTATCCTGATCCTGGTGATTGATAGTCAGTGTATGGAGTCTCTTTTATTTTATATAGCATAGACTGACCTCAAACTTGATGTGTCAAGCGTGGCCTTGGGCTTCTGATTTCCTTGCCTGAGTTGCCTGAGTGTAGAGGTTACAGGTACTTTCCATCACACTCTGTTTAAATATTCTTAATTTACATTTTTCTCTCTATCGTTATCAGTGATTTTCTTGATAACACAGGAATACATGGGTGTGTTGCCTCTGTTAATTATGAGAACCACTTTGGAGTCTTTTTTTCTAGAGTCTGAGAGACTCTAGGTGAAGATTCTGTAACTGTGGCATAACCATCTTCTATTACCAGCCCAACTTAGACTTGCTGCCCCAGGAAATAGTGCCAACATGAGCAAGAGCCCTTAGCTTGTGACCTATCATGTGCTAGGCATCTACTCTTAGCTTTCTGTCACCACAGCTGTCATTTTCTTGGGGTGGGGTGGACAGTTTCGGGTGCAGTGTGCCGTAGTCATTCTTAGTGCTATGGCATTCCATTCCACACCTCCTGCTCTAATTCCATAAAGGTTGAATGTAAGTCACTGCTCACTAGAGTGCAGAATTCCTGGCTATCTCCTGAGGAGTCTGCTGTATTAGGTTCAACCTTAGGTGCTTTGGAAAAACCGAAGTCAGGATGAAGTAAACATTATTCCCGCTTCTGCCTTGGCCCATGGGGCTCCTGAGGGAATGAGGAGCAAGGCTTGAGTTGAAAGAAGGGGAGGAAAGGATGGAATAAGAAAGGAAAACAAAATGTATTAGTAGTCCACAATTTGGCCACATTATGATGGCCATTGACGAACACAGTAGCCAACAGTCTTCTGGTCTTTATGAGCTTCAAGGGAAAGAGAAGCAGAGATTTTACCTGCTTTCTGTCAGCTTGTCACTCTACCAATCATAAGAAAAAGACACATGCTTTGCTGCTTTTCAAGGAAGACAAACCAAAGATGTGGCACAAAGGGAGAATGGCCGAGAGGAGGCTCCCCTGTGTGAGGGATGGTGGCGAGTCAGGTTCTCTAAGAACAGAGCAGGTAGGGCATGTCTACCTGGTTAGCCATTCTCTCTCCATCCATGCAGAGTTATCTGCATATCTAAAGATTCACTTAAAGGATTGGCCCGCACCATTGTGGGTTTTGGTAGTCTGAAATCCCTTGGGAAGACTGGTAGGCTGGAAACCAAGGAAGAGTGTGTGTTATGGGCAAAGTCCAGAGGTAGTCTGGGATAGAATTCCTTCTGCTTAGTCTTTTCTCAAAGGTCTGCCCACATTCCAGGGGAGCAGAGCTGTCAGCTCCTAAGAGTTGGTGTGATTCAAGGTGTGGCCTTTGTGCGGGCAGCTAAACAGAAAACGGATGGAGTTTTCTGGAAAAGACAATTTTTTTTTTTAATGTGAATGATTTTTTAAAAGCCTCTAGTCTAACATTTTTTTAAATCCCATATTGTATAGGAGTTAGGTATCTGGATTATCAGCTGCTAGTCTATATTCATGTTCATTTTTCAATGTCCAGTGTCTTATTTTAGGGTTTAGTCAAGTATTAGTCAATAGATTAGACATTGAATATGCAAAGACATTTTTTAAGATCATGTACTGGCTTGTGTAGATATCATGTAAGGCCTTTTTGTGTCTTCAGGGTGTGGAAGAAAGACGTAGAAATATATTAGGCTAAAGCAGCTCCTGGTTGTTAAGATAGTTGTCCTATCTTAATTTGAATAGAACCTTTGGCCAGAACTCAGTGTAAAGAGCTCGTTTATAAAGCACTCTTGAGAAGGTCTACTTTTAAAAATCTCTGACAGTGATGTTTCCCAAGACACCCTCTGATTTCCTTTTACTCCAGATCAGTAGCATCTCATTAGGTCAATACTTCACTTTATACAACCAGATAACCGGAAACCTGCACTGTTTAAGTCACCTGTGTTTCCTGCACAAGGAGCTTCCAGAATTAAGTATTTCTGGAAAGCCTTAGTCTTTCTCATGGCCTGCTTTAATTCATAGTTCCATGCAGCCTGGACGTCTTGAATTCCCTCAGTTTACGGTAGGTGTGTGAGTCTTCTGTGGTCACATGCTTTGCCGCCCAGAACCCATTGAAGGACAGTGTTGGGTTAAAAGTGTGTACACGTCCTCTAGCCGTGAACGTAGTTCGCATACCGGATTTAGGATGTAGATGCGGAGCTGCCGGGAGAATTGCTGACAGCTGAAAGCAGCTCTGCAGTACTGCACAGTCACTAGAACACGGCTGTGAAGTCCGTGAGTGGGAATCACTCAGAGCTTGGCCATGAAGATTAGTTTACAAATATGATAGCACTGCAAAATCTACTTTTAGACCTATTTGCTTGTTGAACAGGACAATTCAATGATGATTTTGTTAGAAGGAAGTTTGGCAAATCCTCTCCAAACCGCCTGCACTCATTTCTTTTTTAAGTAATTGCTGCCCTCTAGTGGGGATTTAATTTTTTCCTCATACTAAGGCGCGCCCATCAGAATTCTTTTCAGGATGGAAGTAATTGATCGTAAATTTAAAACCATGCAAAACTTGATAGCGTCTAACTCAAAATATAAAGAGAAATAAACATTTGAAACACTGAGCGGTCGCAGATGAACACAGGCTAAGCAGCTATAACAAGCATTTACATCTAGTTGGGAAATATCGTTAAACTTACATGTTATTTCAGTGCAGCCACAATAAATCATACCCAAAAGACCATTATATATTAAGAGATAATGCCCATTTAAGTTTTGATAGAGTAGATTATGAACAGTAATTTCTGTCTGTTTGAGTAAGTATTAATGCTTTTGTTCTTAAAAACCTAGGAGGTGGGCTGGGGACATGGTTTAGCCGGTGGAGTGCTTACCTCCTCCGTCAGACAAGCCTGGGTTTGCTCTCTAGCCAGGTGTGTGCCTGTCATCCTGACATCTGGGAGGTGGTGACAGGATGACCAGGCATTTAGAGCCCTCCTTCACTACTTGAGATTCTGCCTCAAGCCCAAGCCCAGCAGCAAACAAAACCAAACAGAAAGTTTAGAACATTCCCCACAAACTAACAGAGCTCCTGTGTGGAATATTTTGCTTTGGGATGTGTTGTTAGTTTAAAAAAATAGTGGAAAAAATGTAGTTGTTTGAGTTGTAGTCTTTTCTCTCCCCCCCCCCCCCGCCCCGGCATACTGGAGACTGAATCTAGGACACCTCATGCAGTTGGCAAGTGCTCTACAGCTGAGCTCTCCTCAGCACTTTGAGTTATTCTGATCATTTTTTCCTGGTTAGCAATTTCTTTCTTTCTTTCTTTTTTAATTCAAAGTCTTACCATACTCTGGGTCCTATGTGGTCTAGGTTGGCCTCCAGTTTGCATTTCTCTTGTCTAAGCCTCCAGAGTACCGTGATTACAGGCGTGTGCTGCCACGTCCGACCTAGAAGTTTCTTGATGAATAGTGAAATAGCATCTGCTTTTACATCTTTAATAGTAATTATCATGAGGAGAAGACTTAAGTCGCTTATTCTATAGTCATTTAAGAATTCATATTGGGTTTAACCATAGGTTCTATCTAGAAGACATTTTGAGCTTTGAGATGATTAGGAAGCATATAAATTGTCTCTTGGTAGGATGGACTTCTTTGTTCCTTGTTTGGCTTTGTCTATTTCATTACTCATGGTGTTGCTGAAAATGTTGTCTGTCTCTAGTGGTACCGACGCGCTTCTGGAATTGAAGCCATTCATCGAGGAAATTCTTCAAGGGAAGCACCTGACTTTGCCCTTTCAAGGCATTGGCACTTTCGGAAGTCAGGTTGGCTTCGTGAAGCTGGCAGATGGGGACCATGTCAGTGTGCTTCTGGAGATAGCAGGTAAGATGGACAAATAGCCCTCATGGGGCCTCACGTGTGTTTTTCTCAATGGCTGCCGTGGAGACTTGGCATCTTCTAATTTGGAGGGCTGGTATAACTGCACTGCACATGAACTACTTTGGTGTTGGTTGAGTAAGTAGTAGCTAAAAGCCTGGGAGGTTCTCTTGAGGAGACCTCCTAGGGAAAACGCCAGACTGGATTCAAGGATGAACTGTAAGTGCAAATGGTCCTGTTGCTTATCATGGGATGGGACATGTGACTGGCACTTGGTAGGGATTGGATGAAGGAGAGACAATCATCGCGTCTCTATTCAGAGCCTGAGGGAATTGTCATCTCTAGTACAGAGCACCAACAGTGGATCAGCCTACAGCTCCCTCCTCTCTTTTTGCTTATTCTTTGCTGAGGAGAATGTGAACTCGTGAGGGGCTGAGGCCTCACATCTCTTAGAGGCCATTTTAAGCAGACACACTCAATTGCAATAAAGTGGGAGTTGGATGAGTGGATGAATTCTGAGTTTGATGTGGAGACAGTATGTCAGGTGCTGGGCTACAGCCTACAAGTAGTGCTGTGTAGTGTCATCTTGTGCCATTTTGTAGGTCACTCCTTGCTCTGAAATACTATCAGTGTTTGGTCTGTGTGTGGTTTACTTTTATCCTTCGCATTTTTTTCTATCCTTATTCTTTTTTTCTCTCCTTTCTTTTCTTTCATCTTCCTCTTTACCCCTCTACCTACCTTGTTCCCTCTCCTTTCAACTATTTAAAAGATAACTTAGGAACTGAACATCTAGTACCAAAATGAAAGCTAAGGTTTCAACAAACGGTTGTTGTCTTTACAACCTCGCCCTTGGTCTGCCTCCATTTAATTTTCCCGTCATCCTGAAGTTGGTGTCTGTTATCTCCTTATATTTTCTCAAAATACATTCGTGTTTATTTTAGTTGGTTTTAGCATAATAAAAAGAATATCAAGTTGTCCGAAACCTTTTAGGACATGCTTTCATTCTTCATCTTTCAATACCTCTGTGTGTTAACAACTGCTTATTCAAGAGCACCCTTTTACTGGAAGGATGGGTGGGGTGGGCATCAGTTTGCACTGTTGTTTTTTCTTTTCCGTTTTAAAGAACTTGACCAGCCCCTGGGAGCATTACTGATGTGGCTGCTGTGTCACATGCGTATCAGTAGGTGACAGAGAGGAGAGAGGCTGTGTCTGTGCGCAGTGTTCTGACCTGAGAGCGTCTGAATGATCAATAGCCTGACAGTTCCTGAAAAAGCCAACCCCAGACCACCACCAGACCAGTGCCATGGGGCTTGAACAGCAAGTGAGCCTGAGATGACCACCAGTCTGGCACCGCACAGGCCCCAGCAGGGGTGGGGGAAATGACAGACCATGACCAAGATGACCCCTACCTGGTGCCATAGTGCACCTGAAGCATAGCACTATTTAGACCACTCCTGAGATGACCCCAGACACTCAGAGACCCCAGGTGCCACTAAGAGGAGCAAGTAAGTGGTTGAAAATGGAAGAGAAAGAGAAACAGAAGGACGTGGGCACAGTGGGCAGAACTGGAGACCTGAGGGTAGTGAGGGACAGCCTGATGTGAGTAGCTGGTGGTGCCACCTGGAACCATAGTGACCTGTGCTGCCACTGAGGGCCATGTCTGGGTCTGTGGCCCTGCAGCAGCAGGGGTCTGTTACCACCAAAGGCCAGGCTGCCACCCGGAGACATGTTGATGTCTGAGGGCTGTGCAGAACTCCCCCCACCTCACCTGGGCATAGTGGGAGAGCTGGCCCCAGGTGTGGGTGGCATGAGGGCAGGAGAGCTGACCTTGCCCCTAGCCAGCTGTAGTACCCTGGAGAGCAGGGCCCTGTGTATTACCAGAGTTGCAGGTAAGCTGGCCCTGAGGACACAGCGAGGGAGAACTGTCCCTAACCACTCTTTTCACATGTGGTGGCATGAATGAGGGAGAGATGCCCTCCTTCCCCCTCCACCTGTGTCAGATGGGAGAGCAGGCCATGCACCTCCCCTGGGCAGCACAGCAGAGCAGGCCTAGGTGTGGGGTTTGTAGGTGAGCCGGCCCTGAGGGTGTGAGTGTGGGTGAACAGGCCCTGCCTCTTGTGTGCTGAGTGTTGGCATCTGCAAGGGAGAGATTTCCCTTTTGCCTTCACCACTAGCAGCGGGCAGGTGAGCTGGCCCCAATGGGGTCATAAGAACAGGAGAGCTGGTCCTTTCCCTCACTGGCTGCAATACTCAGGAGACTGGGCCCTGCACCTTGCGTGGGCAGCAGGATAGAGCTGGCCCTGGTTGTGGGGGTTGCTGGTGAGCCAGCCCCAAGGCCATGAAAGCAGAAGAACATGAGGGCTAACCAGCTTAGATACTGCTCAGGCCTGCATCCAGGGCTTTGAATTGTCCCACCCCAACATCTACCCCATCAATGAACTGCTGAAGTACATGAAGGGGTTGGTCCTACAGATCCAAAACTATAAGATCTCCATGACACAGGAGCAACAACAGGATGTTGAGAGGAGTCCCAGTGAGGTTCCGGTATTGATAGTGTAGCAGAATCCAGAGGGTCATAGCAGACCCACCAGTCGTTGCAATGGACATTTACAAAGAACTGTAGATCGAACGATGTACCGCGACACACTGTACTTTCTTTTTTGGTGGGGAGGTTGCAAGGGTGGAGGGTGGGTACAAGAGAGGTGGAGCTGAGTGGGATTGGGGTTCATGGTGTGAACTTCACGAAGTGCCAACAAAAAGTTAAAAAAACAAAAGAATTTGTGATTAGTATTTTGTCAATGGCAATGTTTTCATAGGGTTCCTCATCACTCAGACTGTCTGTTAAAATAGAAAGGCATTAACAGTGTATAGCTTAAGTTCATTTAGTTGCTATCTGTTCAGGTGTATTAAAAAAAAAGCTGTAAAAGATTTCTATTGTTTACTTGAAAAGTAGTTTACCTAAGAGCATTTTATCTGGGTTATGAACATAAAATTTGCTATTGGTGTTACTGGCCAAACAGCCACATTCTTCTTAACTAAGGCCTTGTGAATTTATCTTCTCTAAATCCATGTCTTCTACATAATGCCAGGGTCAAGGAATTGCACTTGGGAATAGTCATTACCGTAATCAGGTACTTGGGACAGTAAACTGAAATGAAATTCTCGGTTCTCTGAAGAGCAGTCTTATGCAGAACAACTAGATGAGTGAGCATAATGGAATACTGTGATCTCTGTACCTAGGGTTGGGTGTGGTACCCTGAGGGCCCATAGGAGGAGCGTATGTATGGAGGACAGGTTCACAGCGGAGGTGGCATTGAGCTGAGAGTAGAAGGTACTTGAAGTGCACCCTGCTTAAGCAGAGGAGAGGAGAGCATTCCAGGCAGAGGGGAGAGTGTGTGCGAAGAAATCAAGGCACATTTAGGGATGCTCAAGTAATTGAGTTTTTAGTTTTAATTTTTATTTATTAATATTTTTGTATGTGGTACATGTCTGTCTGTCTGTGTCTGAGTGTGGGGGTGCATGTGCCATACTCACTCGTGTGTGGAGGTCAAAGGGCAGCTTTGTGGCATCAGTTCTCCCTCTGCTTTTACACAGGGCTCTGGGACTTTAACTTAGGCCACCAGGCTTGTACAGCCAGTTCCCCCCTGGCCCGAACTCCAGTTTTATTGGAGTTTAAATTACAAACCCGGGAGAATTGGTCAGAGGAAGTTCATATAATAAGGGAACAAGGAAAGTGAAAAAATGATTTTAGACAAATGGTGAAAGTTTTAGATAGTGATCAGGTTAAGTGGAGAGGGGAATTTCATGAAGCGCTGTGTGACAGGACAGCAGCCAGTGCAAGTGTGTGTGGAATGGAGAGAGGAAGCTGATGATGACATACTTGGCCTTACACACAGACTAAAGGGACAGGAGAGCATGGACACTGGCAAGAGAATGCTGGGTGGGGTCCGATGCTCTCGTATCCAGTTGCTATTAGAGAATGAAATGGAATGAGGTTCGTATTGGAAGGGTGGGGCACGAGGGCTGAAGATCAGTGTTGATAGAAGCCTGTATGCGAGAAAAGTTGTAAGGGTTAGCAATGGTCAGAGAACACCACAGCATGTTGAATTTTGGGAATTCAGGAGATTTGTCTTAACATTAAGAGATTAATGGAATCTTCTTTCTTTATTTTCACAAAGGACAAGTGATAGATAGACATTCAAAGACAAGGGGGAACTGTTAAAGCTCCTTTAGAGTTCAGTGAGGTTATTAGATAAAGTATTGGAATAAGCTATGGCAGATAATTGAGGCCAGTAAGATGACCCCATGGTAAAGGCACTTGCCGCCAAGCCTGGTTATCTGAGTGGCTCCTCTTGCCTCACATGATAGATAGAAGGAGAAAAGCGACTCCTGCAGGTTGTCCTCTGACCTCCGTATAGTCGCCATGGCGTTTGCTCAGGTGTGTGTGCACGCACATTTACAAATGAATGTAAAAATAATAGCAGATAGGTTGAATTAGCTAATTTTCTAAAGAGGCGTCATTTCTAACAGCAACAGAAGCATAAGCGTGTGAGAGGGAAATCTGCCCAAGGATATGCCAAGCCTTCTGTGGAGAGAACCTTTTAACTACAACCCTGCTAGGTGCGTTTATCAAACGCTTTCCTCCTCTTCTCCCTTTCTTTTTCATTTGTTGGGAGAGTATCTCTTCTCCTCCCCAGGAAATGCATTTCTAGAAAAGCCAGAGTCCGTCAGAAAATTGCAGGCTTACTTAAATTAAACTGTGTCTCTGTAGATGTGGTATGGCAAAGGTGCTTTCAAGATGTTTTGCCTTCATGATTCATAGAAATGTTACCTATGTATTTAAAAGCAAATGTTGTTAATTCCATGTTACTATGTTAAATAACAACAACAGCTTTTCTAATAAGTTTTTGTTGTTGTTGTTTTTAGTCTTGTTTTGAGGCAAAGTCTCATGTAGCCCAGGCTGGCCTCATACTCACCGTGTAGTTGAAGATGACCTTAAACTTCTTCCTAATCATCCTGCCTCTCCATGCACCACCGTGCCTAGCGTTCAGGCGCAGGCTTTGGGTGTGCTGGACGCATACTCTACCAGCTGCGCTCTATCCCCACCCATAATCTGTTTTTTAATCTTAGTATCAGAACCGTTTTCTTAAACAGATTGTTTTTCACTTGATAAATATTGGGTATGTAACTTGTGTTGTTTTGAGATTGACTTCATTGTCAAAAAGCTTACATTTAAGCTTACTTTAATTTAGACTATAGGACACTTCATCTGTTTTTCTAGTTTTAGCATTCTTTGTCTCATCTTCTTTATTTTGTGATCATTTATCATGCTATACAGTTCATTGGAGTCGTCTTAAGTCCTGTTTTGGGGTAGGATAAGACAAAATATGTACAAGCAACAATTTGAACAATAACATTTGGAAGCCAAATAGGATGTAAAAAGCTGGCCAAAGCTCTCAAAGCTTTGAGGGCAGATCATCCCAGAATCAATGCCCACCCACAGTCAACAAACATAATATATATATTTTTCTGACTGACTACTCAGGAGAAAATGCCAGACTTAAGTCTTTTCTTTTGTAATATAAATATCACAGAAACATTTCTAATTAGTCATTCAATCATTGTCCTTTTAAATGATTCAATGAGTGCTTGCAACATTAAGAATTCCATCCATTCTCTGCAAATATTCTCACAAAAATATTTTTCAGTATTGATGAAAGCTCCATTGTGTGGTGAGGAATGTGAAATCTCACCAGCTTTAATGGGAACAGGAACCCATGGATGCTCCTTTGTCATTTTAGCAAAGGCCACTGCCCCTGTAATTCATTTCTTTATTCCAGATCCATTAGGGACCACTGCTTAGAAGGATTTATATTCTGAAAATTTCATCAAAACAATCCAAAAAAAAAGGAAAAAAAAAAAAAAACGGAGGGAAAACATCACCGCTTATTAAACTTACTTTGAACCTGTTGTGTGAGTATTGTACTGTTGCTTTTGTTTATAGTTCTCATGTATAGTCAGAAGAAATCCAGATATTTTAATAGTCATGGGAGATTTTCACTCACCTACGCATTGAAGCAAAAATTTTGTTTATTTATGTTGTTGCTTGGAGAAAAGGTTTTGTTCTGTAGCCCTGACTGGCCTGGTACTATGTAGCCAAGGCTGTCCTGTCTACATCCCAGGCAGGTTTTCCTGGGTCTCTGTAGCAGCCAGCCTCTTGAGGGACATTTTCCTGTCCGGGTGATTGTTAGGTGGAGTCAGT